AGAAGTCAAAGGATTTTGTTAACCTTTACTGTAAAGAGAATGATACATGACATCTAGGATCTTAAATGCCATGTCGTATCTATATAGAATTATGAACAAAGGCACTGTTTAGGAGTCTGTACCAGATCACAGGCCAAATATAAAGAACTTGTGTGCCACATAAAAATTTCTCAAAGAAGTTATAAAGCAACTTCAGATTTTATAAAAGATGTACTACTACTCTTTGGCAATCTAGTTTTTCTTTCCCAAAGCTCTCAAGTCCTTTGCCAAAACTACATATCTATTTACAAATGAGCCTGTGTTGATAAGTTTAACAAAACTGTATGTTTTTTTGGTTGGACTTGATAGTTTTTATAAGAATTATATGGCATTTCGACATACAGGTTATTGGCGCACGTTAACCTAAGATCTTAGTTAACGGAAACATCTGGTAGCTTAGGAAAAGTCCCTTTTTTAAATGTAGTGCAATAAAACTAGAAATCAATAACAAAAAGGTAAGTACAGAAACATCTACATATTTGGAAATGAACTGGTATGCAATTTAGTGTCCAACAGAGCAAAGGAAAAAATCAAATAAAAATTAGAAAACAACTGAATCATAAGAAAAATTGCATATAAAATCTTATGCTACAGGTACAGAAGATTTTAAAAGAAACCTAATGCTAGAAATACTAGAAAAGACAAAATAGTTAAGAATGAATAATGTTTCCATTCATTTCCATAGGTAGAAAAGATTATTAATATAAAACCCAGGGTCGTAGAAGGGAAAGAATTATAAAATAAACAGCAGAAATTAATCAAATAGAAAATCAACACACAATGAAGAGGATTAACATTGCCAAATATTTGCTTTTTTATAGTGATTTGTATTGGACTTATAAAAAATTTTTAAAAGAAAGTACAAATAACCAATACAGGAAAGGTAAAAGATATTGATCAGACTACAACAGTAATTATGAATCATTCTATGCAAAATTTTGATAACTTAGGTAAACCAGGATATCTAGAACAATAAAATTAATCAAATTAACTCAAACTGAAAAAGTAAACCTGAAGAACCATTTAACCATCAAAAAAATTTAATTAGTATGTAAATCCTTCCACACAAAAAGGACATACAAATGAATGATGTGGAGAGATTTTCTGGAGTACAGGAACTTCCAACCTAAAGAAAACACTGGAGTAACTATTTAAAGCATCGGAAAGTGAGACTTTGATCATAAAACTTCTTACCACAATGTAATGGGCTGAAAGAAGTGAGGCTTGGGAGACATAATTTTAAAACTAACAAAATGGAATATATTTATAGTACTGCTAAATAAAAATGTAGAGTATCTGTAATATTATTGAAACTCCAAGTGGAAAAGCAGAACAGGACTAAAAAGGCAACACGGATAAATTAAATGACATTAAATAATGGGTAAAGGAAAATTTTTTCTCTAATCACAAAACTTCTGACACCAAAAGTGGTATTTTTGCCCTCCATACCAACCACATAGAAAACTAGTATGTTCTAAATACCCGGACATCAATTTGATGCCCTATTCTTTAATTCAGTTGTGATACTAACTACCTGAAGGTAGTGTCAGACTTCACAGGTTTAAGAGCTCAGTTCCAAAAGGCAGCCCTCCCTTCAGACACCAATTGCAAGTTATGGGTCCCCAGGTTATGTACACTTTCAGGTTTCGGTTTTATTTTTATTTTTTGTGGTTCTAGCCAGTACCTGAGACAATGTTTAAAAAGGAGGGACGGTGAATGACAGTCCATATCCTACTCTTGCTCTGAAGTTTGGAGCAAATCACTCAACTAATATTGTACCTAATAGTGAAAGACTTTATGCTGAAAACTATAAAATGCTAATGAAAAAAATCAAAGATGATCTCAGTAAGTGGAGAGGAGTAGCATGTCCATGAACTTGATGGCTCAACAATAAAGATATCAGTTCTTCCCCAATTGATCCGTAGGCTTAATGCAATTATTACGAAAATTCCAACGTGATTTTTTATTGTTACAATCTAATTTTAAATTTAAATGGAAGGCAAAGGAATGCCCCCAATTTTTTTCCCCAATTTTTTTCTTTAAAAAAAGGAATGACACAATCTGAATTTAAGACTCACTACATATCAACAGTTGTCAAGACAGTGTACTACTAGTGTACTGGGCGTGGTGAACAAATAGATCAATGAAGCAGAATATAATGCAGAAATAGGTCCAAACACATATAGCCAACTGATTTTAAACAAAGATGAAAAAGCAATTCACTAGAGAAAGGATAGTCTTTTCAAAATATGGTGTTGGAATAATTCAACTTTCATAGGCAAAAACAAACAAACTAAATACACAAACCTAAACCTCACATCTTATACAAAAATACACTCAAAATGGATCACTAACCAAAATGTGACGTATAAGACCTTTCAGAAGAAAACAGAAGAACTATTCGTAACGAGGGTTAGGTGAAGAGTTCTTAGGCAACACCAAAAGCACAATGCATAAATTAAAAGATTAAGAAATTGCACTATATCAAAATTCAAACTAAAAGCATGGGCAGATACCACTACACACCCATTAAATGGTAAATTTAAAGACAAATAATACTCAATGTGGGCAAGATTTTGAAACAATTAGAATTCTCAACATTGCCAATGGGAACGTAAAACAATAAATATATTCACTTTGGCAAACTGTTTTGAGTTTCTTAACAATAAACACAGTATCTCTGGCAATCTCACTGTAATTATCTAAGACAAATGGGAAAATATATCCACACAGAAATAACTCAAGTGTTCATAGCAGTTTCATTCACAACAGCTGGAAACTGAAAACAACTCCCACCAACTGGTGAGGGGATCAAAATCACTGGTACATCTATTCAATGAAATACTATTTGCAAATAAAAAGAAATAAACTGCTAATATACGTTATAATGAATCTCAAAAGAATTATGCTGAGGGAAAGAAATCATTTACAACAGAGCACATACTCTATGACTTGCATTTTATAAATTTACAGAAAAAGAAAACTAATCTGTATAACTGAAAAGCAAATTAGTAGTTGCCTTTAGCCAGGGGCACAGAGGAAAATGGATTGCCAAGGGGCAGAAGGAATCACTGGGAGTTAATAGAAATGTACTTTTACTTGATTGTGATTGTGGTTTCCTAGTTTCAAGTTAACCTTTGTGAACTGTCCTCTAAATCCTGGTAAAAATGGAATGTCAGCTGTGTTACAGGCAACATTGGTCATAAAAAAAATGATTCTTTAATTGCAAAATGCATCTGGACTGGGAGGACGTAAAGAATAATGAGATAAAGCAGTATATGTCAACCTCAAGATAAATCAGATGCTGAAATCGCCTGGCAAGGATTTAAAATAGCCACTAAACAAATGCTTCAACAAGCAATTATTAGTTCTCTTGAGACAAATGAAAAAGAATAGAAAATTTCAGCAAAAAATAGAAATTATAAAAAATAATAATATGAACATGATATAACTGAAAACAATACAAACATTGAAGTTTAAAAAAAATCAAACAACTTGCAGGATGGGCTCAATAGTCTAGTGGAGATGACAGATGATAGATCCAGTGAACTTGAATAAGGAAGAATAGAAATAACTGATCTAAACAAAAAGAAAATAGATTTGGGTGAAAAATCAGATCTACATGGATCTGTAAGAAAATAACCAGCTAACATTCATATTTTGGGAATCTCAGAAAGAGAGGGGAAAGAAAGAAGTACTAAGTAAATACTTAAAGACATGAAGTCTGATAAATTCCAAAATTTCATGAAAGACATAGAGCTATAGATGCAGGAGGCTGAGCAAACCTCAAACAGGATAAACCCAAAGAAATTTATAAGAGACACATAGAAAGTTCTGAAAATTAAACAGAAAGAAAAATCTTACAAGGATTTAAGAAGGAAGTACACATTACTTATTATAAAAAGCAATATGAAAGATAAAATTTCTCACCTGAAACCATGAAGGCCAGAAGTTAGTAGCATAATATTTTTCAAGTCCTAAAACTAAAGAACAGTCAAACATAAATTCTATTTGCAAAAATAGTTTCCAGAAATGAAGGTGAATATTTCAGATGAAGGAACACTTAAAGAATTTTTTTCCCAACAAATCTACTTTTAAGAAATGGCTAAAGGAAATTCTCTAAACAGAATGTAAGTGATAAAAAAGAAAACTTGGAACTCCAGTAATTTAAAATATAGAACAAAATGAAAAAAATAAAAGCATACCAAAAATGTGAGATTCAGTTAAAGCAGTGTTGAGAGGGAAATTTACAGCACTGATTGTTTATGTTACTGAAGAAAAAGGTCTTAGAATATATTTAAAATTTTTGAAAGAAAAGAATGAAGTAGGAGAAATCACTCTACTTGACATTAAGACTTATTATACAGCTTCAGTCATCAGGCCACTGCGGTACTGGTAGAAGAATAGGTACACAGATCAATGAAACTGACTAGAAAACCTTGAGAAAAGACCTACAAGTATGCCAAACTTTTTTTTTTTTTTAAGATGCAGAAGCAATCCAATGAAAGAAGGAAGGTTTTTCAGCAAAGGGTTCTGGAGCAACTGGATATCCATGGAGGGTGGAACTACCTCAACCTAAACATCACACCTGGTATGAGAATTTACTCAAAGTAGATCAGGAAGGGCAATGTGAAATATAGAACCAAAAGCTATAAACCCTTAGAAAAAGTAAGAGGAAATAGTCAAGATATAGGGTTAGTCAAAAACTTCTGGGAATTGACACTAAAACTAAAATCCATACACACAAAGATTCATCCAGCTACTATCATGAAAATACTGTGTTCCAAACATGTTTTGAATCATGCACACATGCATATATTTTAAACTATTTTAAAACTGTATCCCAAGTACAGGCATATCAGGTAATTCAGTAATACTTTAAATGCTTTGTGCACAAAGTGATGATTTTTATTGAAAGTACTCCACTGTTTCTACTTTGATTTTCCAGCAATCTGTAATTTTTAAATGTTCAGGGTCCTTTTATTTACCATCTGAGGGATGAACCTGTGTGCACTGTCTAGTACCTTCCTTAAGGCTATCTGCATTTCTTTGTTTCTTAGACTGTAAACAATGGGATTAAGCAGAGGTGTCAGCACTGTGTAGGTCACAGCCCTCAGCATATCTTCGCCGAATGAGCCACTGTCCTTGGGCCTCAAATAAACAAAGCCAGCAAATCCGTAGTGCATGCACACCACAGTGAGGTGGGAGGAGCAAGTTGAGAAAGCCTTATACCTCCCCTTGGCAGAAGGCATCTTCATAATGATGGACGCAATGAAGACATAGGAAATCATAATTAAAATAAAGCTGCCTACCAGCACAAAGGCAGAGAGCATAAATATAGCCATTTCATGATAGGGCGTATAGTCACAAGCCAGGCAGATCACAGGTGAGATGTCGCAAAAGAAGTGCTGGATGACGTTGGAGTCACAGAAAGACAAGTTGAATACCATGATGACGATGCACAGAGAAACCAGACACCCAACCACCCAGGAGGCCATCATCAGCTGAAAGCAGATCTTCTGGGTCATCAAGACGGGGTAGTGCAGCGGGCTGTGAATAGCAGTGTAACGGTCATAGGACATGGCAGCCATGATGAAGCAGTTACTGCTTGACAAGCCAAAGAAGAAGAACATCTGTGTGGCACACTCAGGAAGAGAGATGGTCTTACTATCTGATAGTAAATCCACTAACATGCGGGGTATGATTACCACAGTGGTACAGGTTTCTGAAAAGGCCAGACCACAGAGGAAAAAGTACATGGGGGTGTGCAGGTGGCGAGTGAGCATGATGGCCACCATTATGGACACATTTGCAGTGAGGATGGTTACATGGGAGAAGAAAATCATCACAAAAAGGAGACTCTGCAGGTCTGGGAAACTGGAAAATCCCCACAGAAGGAAGGTGCTCACTGCAGTGTGATTGCCCATCCTCCTGGTGCACGCAGCAACTCTCTTCCAAAGGTGCAGGGTTCCTGAAGTTAAGACTCTGAGATGTTATAAAACATCCTTATGTACCAACGTCACCAAGACTTTAATCAAAGGGCGCTGGGAAGTTGAAGGCAGCTCTTCATGGGAAAGCCTAAGAAATTAATGCTAAGTGCACTTGACTGAAGTCAAGTTCAGTAATCAGAGTGAGGAGAATGATTCTGGTATGAAAATCTATATAAATGACATACAGTCAGCCCAAATATCTCCCTGGATTATACTCACAAAAGCATTCTTATTTCTCTCTTTTCCAATTAGCATCTGCATGTAAGAGGGAAACATGAATAAATTTGCTTTGTTCTCACCCACTGGATTTTGTGATGCTACATTTTTCAAATCCTCTTTGAGACAAAATGGTAACCTGGTACTCAGGGGTGCTTCATAAACTACTGACTGAATGAATAAAATAATCCAATCACTTAAAATGAATATAACATTTTTAAAAAAAATTAGGCAGATCAGTGAAATCTTCCAAAAGAGCTTTGACTCTTCCTTCAATGAAATCTTTTTATCAGTGTTTCACCCTGCAGTGGCTCCAAAAGTAGTAACTGTGGCCATGACCTGACCACATAAATGAATTTAACATGTTGTAACTTGTACTGGGTTCCTATCCATGGTAATAATTAAAGCTTGAGATTTAAAATATCATTAGTTCTTAACACATATCAATAATTATAAGTTCTTAATTTCTCATTGAAGATCTTTTTTCAAATGCCTAATATATTAATGGACTAGCATTGAGTGAAAATAATTTTGAAGATACCATTTCATTTAGAATGGCATATTCTGGTCATAATGTTCTAATCAAATTTTGGATTTTTTTAGCAAAACCTCCAGGACATTTTGTAGCAGGTGTACTTGTTATGTGGTTTGCTTTGAAGTGCAGATCTGAATGGAATAAACCCAAATTCCTCTGATCAATTTGGCCAATCATATTTCTATTTCAATTTTTCATTAAACATCCAATCTCATATAAGTGGTGAAGGTAGAAATGTGATATGAAGAAATTTCATAAAATTTCAATTTTTAACTTCAAACACTGTTAAAAAATGATGGGAAAGAAAAATAGTACGGAATCAGTGGAGGAAAATGAAGGAGTGTGCAAGAGAAAGAGAGAAACACTGGCTAGAAGTTATTCTATAGGGCTAAGAAATGTATTGAAGCTTGAAGGGTTACTGTTTTCTCTTTGCATTGTAATTATGGGCAAAGAATACAAGAGAAGTCATGCCAGGTGACCAGCACCCACCATATACCTTTAATGTTCCAGACAATATGCTGCAGTTAGAGCTGACTCATGTAGTCCTTTTAAGTCTATGTTTTTAGGATTTTCATTGTGATTTTATAAACAATAAAGTAAGTTAAAGTGTGGTTAAGTGACTATAGAAGTCATGAGTTTTTTCAATACATATTGGCTAAATGCATGTGATGGGCCAGGCAATTTTATACTTGGGAAACACAATACGTAACCAGACACATAGGATCTGATAATGTGAGAGTGAATGACTGTTTTGGTTTGTGGAGTCAGGGAAGCCCTTTCTGGGGAGGTAACATGCTTAAATGGAGAACAGAAAGTCAGTTAGCAACCAACAGGTAAAGAACAGGGGAGTCAGCATTGCAGGCACAGTTCAGAGCTAACACAAAGAACCTAATGTGGGAATAATCTACCCCAGCAATCTTCAACCTGGACCCATATGGCTTATCTTTTGAGATCAGACCACACTCTTACCACTGATGGTTCCCTAGGCTATTTACCTCTTAGAAAAACATTTTTTTCCATTCTTTATGCTTCAATCATCATTTACCTTGTGTGCCTTCTTCAGTGTTCTGCCTCTGCCATAGCAGAATCCCCAGTTTCCTTTGGCACATTTCCAAGGCCGGAATTACCTCCAATAATTCAACGCAAGATTTTCAGAACAAAACTGGCCAAATTTTTCCACATGTCAGAGTTTCCTCCTGTATTTCCTATTTGAGTTAATTACAGACATCAGAGAGCCACCCTCAAACTCCATTTTTTACTCCTTCCTCATTTTCCATAATTACAGATGGTTTGTTTGCCAGCATCTTTATCCTCTTATTTTACTACCTCTGCTATTTCCCATAGGGTGTATATGGCGCCTCCATAGTTGTCTATCAGTCGTAAGTCTCCTGCGTTTTAATTTTATTCACCACAATATGACCCGTTGTTAGATTTGTAACTACAGGCTATATTAAGTCACTAACAGTGTCAAAAATAGTGAATAGATACACACTGCTTATCAGAGGAAATCCAAATACTCCAGCACGATATTTGATGCTCATCACAAAAGGATTCCTAGGCACTGCTCCTGGCTCAGTTTCCACCACACCCCTCTACCTACCCTACACTCAAACCAGACAATAGTGCCCTCTTTTTTCCAAACGCTTCCCGATCCTTCATGCTGCTGTGCCTGGCAGGTGATTTTCCCTCTGTCTCAGTTTCCCCTCCTCTATTTTACTTTTATCAGACTTTTATTGAGTTTTCATGCCCTAACTTGAATTACTTTGATTCCTCACCCTCTCTCGTTGTCCACATTTTCTAGATTCCAGGATCCTAACTAAAAAATGTCGCCTGCATTCTATTCCATCATTCATGTGGGTTTTTGCAACAGCATCTATTTTTTTCCCTCTTCCAGACCTGTCCCTCACCTCCTGCCACCTTTCCTCTATCACATTTATGATCATGCTACATGTCTTCATTTTCAACATGTTTTAGATACCCTTTGCTTACAAACTAGATAATTCAAGTAACTTCTAGACTTCACTGCATACTTCAGTCATACTATATCATATACCCTCACAGCTATACTAAGAGATAAGTGCTGTTAAAATGACCATGTTTCTGGTGAGGAAACTATGGCTTAGAGAGTTACTTAACTTGACAAAGGTGACACAGCCAGTCAGTACACATGTATCATACACACAACAAGGCAGCAAGAGTCCGAAGACCCACTCACTTGGCTAGCTGTTTATAAGGCCTCCCTCACCACACGTGCCCTAGCATGGCATTCAAGGTCTTACCTGTCCCGTTGCATCTCCTCTCATGATTATTATTTTGGGAGATTTACTAATTCCTCCATAATCCATTTTTTGGTGTATTTGAAGTACACTTTATTTGTACTAAGGTAGTTGGCTGTTCTCTAATGGGTTTTAAGAATCCTGTCACCTAGCAATGTGAATGCATGTATAGAAGTTTTCTACATGCTGTCTTAATTGAACTTATGATGGTGAAAATCAGCAAACGTCTGAAAATGCCAGACTGGCTGCTTAGAGTCTAAGAAATCGAGGCTATCATTTTCTCATGCTAGATATTACCCCCAATTTACTGTAGAAGGAAATCATACATGACCTACAAGAGTGATCATCTACTAAGAGGTATAACAGATAATCTCTAGGGGAGCTTTATCAAAACAGCATGTCTCTACCAGTACCTACCACAAGTTCTGGGCAGGCCTCTCCAAGAACAAAGACCTCCAGGATATGAGGATACATATACTTTGCATAATCTTTCTCTTTAATTTTTGTCAAGAACTTTTGATTTATATACTTTTCACATATTTTTCTGGTAAATTCTGGGGCTTTTTAAAATACTATCCTAGTCCAATAGTGATAAACAATTATGTCAATGTGACATTATTTCCATTTTTCCCAATCAGGCACTGGAAAGCAATATACCTATAACATTTTTTTCAGCCCCCTGTTTTTCGCAAGCCTTGCTGTCTTTACTATCATGGACTTGGCCTTGAGTTTCACATCTTCTTCTCTGTAGTTCTTCAGAGCTTCCCCAGTACTGTTTTCTGTGTGCCAGCTATACTAGGAGCAGAGAATTGACAACATTCTTAATTCCTAGATTATCTGTGCCCATATTTTCATTAATATTTTCCAGTATCTATAAGTACTTGATTATTAGAATACATAGAATAATATTCATTGTAAAGAGAGAGAAAAAAACCATACTGCCCACATTTTATAGAAGGAAAATCACTTTCTCTTCTCTTAAATGCATGAGGTGTTAAGCTGGAGGAAGAACTTACAGTCTTACAACTCAGGTGTGGCTTTCTGCAATACTTTCTCTGATTTCATGTATCTCATAATTCAGGGATAAGTTTTAAGGCAACTTTTTTCTTTTGAATGCCTGTCATGAGTCCCCTCAGACGTTAGAGTCTCCTGTAACATAAAAGGTTGTCTTCATTCCTTAAGGATGGATCACAGTATCATAAAGATTTTAATGAGTCCTCAGGCCACTGGAGACCATTATCTAGAGACTACTGCTTCAGATGCCAGGAATCTTGTGCTTCATGGGTCCATCACCCAATGTAATGTCCGCAACAATGTTTTTTCTCCCTTTTTTTTAAATTGAAGTATAGCCAATTAAGTTATGATATGTCAATTTCTGCTGTATAGCATAATGTCCAAGTCATGCATATATATACATATATTCATTTTCATTAAAGGTTATTACAACAAATTGAATATAGTTCCCTCTTATATACAGAAGGAATTTGTTTTTTTATATTTTTGTATGTAGTGGTTAACATTTAATAAGTTTCTGGAAATATACAGTCCACCAAGACTGAATCAATATGAAAAATATTTTTAAATCCTGACCTACCATAGAGAATTTTGAGGGATGTTTGCACTTATAATTCTGAATAACAACTGAAGTGATGAAAACTCGATTTGTTAAAAATAAATCTTTGGGTTGTGGATGATTCTCTTAGGAATATTTTACTTCCTGCAAAATATCACTTATTTTATTTATTTAAAAATTTTTTGTTTATTATTGTATTATTAAAAATTTGGGGGGGGGGAGGAGGTAATTAGGTTTACTTATTTTTAGAGGAGGTACTGAGGATCGGACCCAGTACCTTGTGCATGCTAAGCATGCACTCTACCACTTGAGCTATACCCTCCCCCTTATCACTTATTTTATAATTCTGAAAATTTGCCAAGTCCCTCAGGACTCATCTGTCCAATACCCAGGTCAAAGGAAAGGCAGGTCATGAGAAGCTGTTGCCAAGGAAATCATTTAGAAGATTAGTAAAAAGAAGACTAACACACAGTATAAGCACTAAAATTTCTCTCTCAGAGGCATTTCTCCTTTAGAAGATCTTGCTGCAAAGGATAATTCCCTTTTATCCAAATTCCCAGCTACTGTACTGGCTTGTGTAAAATCTCCAAGTGGCTCCTAACTTCCTCTCTCATCAGCTTGGCTTTTAACATCTTCCACCATCTGTCCTGCTTTCTACCTAATGAGCTACTAAGTCTTATCTTCAATGTTGATCCAACACTTGATGCAAACCAGTTGGCATACTATCTTCTGCTTAATATCTGCACTTTCCTCTGTACTCTTTTCAATCTGTCTTAAAATCCCTTCTCCTGATGAGACTCATTCAAACTTTTTCCATAATTTTAAAGATTTAGCATAAATGCTACCTCATCCAAGAAGTTCCCTGCCTGAATGAATGCATAAAAATCAAGAGAGAAATTACAATCCTTAAGAATGAGTTCTATTAGGAGGGGCATTTATTTTGGATGGCCTCCACTGTACAAAGAACCTCAATGTTAGCAGATACAGTGTAGCAGTCTAGGTAGCTCTACATAAAAATAAACTGGGTTTTTTTTTTGTGCCTTTCCTCAGTCTCTTACCAGGCCAGTGAACATTTCATCAACTTCTTTCAGAGCCACCTGCTAATGCATTTTTTTGAGAATTACTCTTGGAAGAAAGGAACAAAACTGACTGGAAATGTCTGGGAGTGCACTCACAGGATGCCCCATAGCCATTAGCTTAATGATACAGTGTTTAAAAACAACAATGACAAAAACACCCTGTTGCTGCATGGGAGGACAACTCTAAATGGTAGGTGCCATTTATGCTCCAATGCTCCCTGTGGGATCACACTGAAGCTACACTTCAGTGGAGCCCACATCGTTATCTGGCTTCTCCCCTTGCCTTGTCCTGCTTCTCTCTTTTCTTACAGTTTTCTCCAGAGATCACTCCTCACTAAATCACTTGCGTAAGAATTACAGTATAAGGTCTTGCTTTTGGAGAACTTGTCATAAGGCAGAGTCTCAACATGTACACAGGAATGAGGACTGTATATACTTTATTACATATACATGAAATTTTTTTAAAAGTTAACATCAGGTTCTAATTGTTGGCTCGGAGTTCTTCTCCCTACAGGACTAGTTACAACCCTGAACCATCATTGTCAGTCATCTAGCCAAATAGACTGAATTTCTATCTCTGGGTCTTATTGCAGTTCTTTCTTGTAGTGCTGGGTTTTCTGCTTCTTGCTAAATAGCTCTGATTACCAGAGATTGATACTTTTTTCTTATGCATCTATTCAGAGGACAGTCAGTGAATTCTAAGTTGATACCACTGATTTTCTAGACATGCCCATGATACAATCCGCCAAAGACAGATGGGGCTGCACACTGCTGCTGCTGCTGCTGTTTCTTTATACCCATCAGTCTATCTTTGCTATTATCTTCATCACTACTTTTCCAAATGCACTGTAAGTCAACTACAAGAAGAGTAATAGAAATAACAGTGTCATTTTCTGCTAAAAAAAAATTGAAGATACAGACATCACCACTACCCCTCTTCAAATTTGAAGAAGTATGTGCATGCTACATTCTCTTTATAACACTACTAACAATCTTCCTGGAAATATGAATATGGAGATTTACTCATTTTATTCATTCTTTCACTCAAAAAATTATATTAACTGCCTCTTATATTCCAGGCACTGTCCTAGACTATAGGAAATACAAGTGACGAACAGCCAAAGATGTCTGCCCACATGGAATTTATTGTCCCTCATCTATAAGGCAGGAAGAAAAAACAAACTATCATCAAGCATTAAATATGTCAAAAAATTAAAATAGGAAAGAATAATTCTGTACCCCTGTGAAGCAGAGTAGTCACCAATTAAACTAAAATCATTTACACTTCCTCTACTAGTTTCCAGCAAGGAATAGGAAGATCAATAGTGGAGATGCAGAAAGAGAAAGCAGATATAAAACATACATAAATAAGGTCAGAGTAGGAATTACTTGTTTGACCATAAGAGCCATTTTCTTCAATGCAGAAATATTCTATATGAATGGTGAGGATATTCCAGAAGAGAAAAAAAAATGATCTTATCTAATAGCACTGCCCTTTGTTATTCATTTCAATTACTTTATTTAAAAAAATCATTTTCGTGACCTTTTAAAGATTCTCCATGTCCACATGTAGTTTGTGCTTCCCTCTCTTCCTGGCCTCAGATAACTGTTGATCTGCCTTTTGACAATATAGATTAATTAGCTTTGCTAGAGTTTTGTACATTAGAATCACACAGTATGTGCCCCATTGTATCTGACATCTTTCTATCAACATAGTGATTCTGATAATTCATTTATGTTTTGTGCATAACTCAGCCTTCTCATGGCTGAGTAGTATTCTATTGCATGGATACACCATTTTTTAAATCCATTCATCTGTTAGTGGGCTTTGAGGTGTTTCCACTTTGGGACTTTTGTGAATAAAGGTGTTTTTAAAAAGGGGCAAAAAGCTTTATGAACTTTCAAGTAGTCACTGCATGGATGTATGTTTTCACTTGTATTCAGTAAATCTAAAGAAGTGGGCCTCAAGGTCATATGGTAGATGTAAAAATATTTACATTTTTAAGAAACATAAACAATTTCAAAGTAGTTTTATGTTTTTATATTCCAAAGTGTGATGCTGAGAATTCCAGTTGCTCAAAAACCTTGCTAACATTTGATACTGTTCTTTAATTTTAGCCATTCTGAACTGTACAGTTGCAACATTTTTCATTTTAATTTGTATTTCTCTGATGACTCATGGTATTAAGTATCTTCTTATGCGCTTACTGGCCATTTGTATGTCTTCTTTTGGAAGTACATGTTCAAAGCTTCTTGCCCTTTTTACAAAGTAGGCTCATGGTCTTAATATTATTCAACTACAGGAGTTCCTTCTGTGTTCTATATACAAGCCCTTTTTCATGTATATGTAATACAAATATTTCCTCCCCTTTAGTGTCATGGATTTTTTGTTTGAAGACCAACATTTTAAATTTTGATGAATTCCAGTATGTCATTTTTATTTATTTCATGGCTTGTGCATCTCTGTTCTATCTAAAAAAAATGTTTGTCTACTCTAAAATAACAGAGATTGTTTTTCATATAATTAGCTCTAAATGTTATAGTTGAGCCTTTGTATTTACACCTATGATACATTTGAGTTAATTTTCTTGTATAGGATATAAGAGCTATTGTTCATTTTTCCATATGAAGTTCTTGCAATAATATATGCTGAAAATTTTTTCCACATAGAGCTGTCCTTAACATTAGTTCAAAATGTATTGGCCTGTATGTTTAACATATTCATAAATCTATTGTGGATCTATTTATCAACTATCTTTTTTGTTCCTTTGATCTGTATGTTTCTCTTTTCCCCAGTACTGTACACTCTTGATTACCTTAGCTTTATAGTAAGTCTTGAAGTCAAGGAATACAAATCTTCCAACTGTATTCTTCATTTTTAAAAATTACTTTTTATTATTCTAGTTAGTTTGCACATTCACAGAAAATCAGCTTGTCTACTTATACAAAATACCTTTTAAAAATTTTGATCCATATTGCACTGAATCCGTATATCAATTTTTGAAGAATTGGCTTCTTAATAATATTGAGCCTTCCAATCCATGAACATGGTATCTCACCTTGTTTATTTATGTCTTCTTTATTTCCCTCAGCAGTTTCTCTAACTTTTAGTGAAGAAGTGTTGTAAAGTTTTTCTGAAACTTATCCCTAAAAATTTACAGTTTTTAACATATTGTAAATAAATTTTGTTTTAATCTTTCCATTGTTTGTTACAGTATATAAAAATAAAATTACTTTCTATGTATTATGATTGTATTCTGTGATCTTACTAAATGAGTTGCAGATTTCTTAGAATGCTCTGCATAAATACATTTACAGATAGAGCCAGTTTTATTCTTCATGTTTCATCTCTATATTTTTAAAAAATTGTATTGACTTTTAGCAATATCTGGGACTTCCAACATAATGCTGAATAAAATTCGTGATGGTGGACTTCCTTATCTTTTTCCCAAGTGTAGATGGAAATCATTCAATATTTTACCATTAAGAATTATGTTAGCTGAAAGTTCTTCATAGTTGCCCTTTATCAGATATTATTGCTGGTGTTGATGTTCCTCTCTTCCTTTTCCTGCCTTCTTCTGGATTATTTGAATTATAAAAATCCCATTAAAATTCTTCCATTGGCATTTTAGGCATTGCTCTTGCATTACTTCTTTACTGGCTACTGTCAGGATAAGAATATATCTTCCTAAATATTGAGTTTACCTAGATTTAATAAGTTAGTAATTTACATAAAATAAGGAGAACTTAAGATCTTACATGTTGATTCTCCTGCTTCCACCTTTATACTATTCTTGTCAGATATATGTTTTGCATCTCTATAATAAAGATCTCATCAGATAATATTATATTTGCTAATTTGATAAGTTTAATTTTATTTTTTATTGAGGTATAGTTGATTTACAATATTAGTATCAGGTGTAAAGCAAACTGGTTCAGTTATACTTATACATATATACATATAACAGTTTGATAAGTTTTATGTATTTTAAAGGAATTAAGAGGAATGCATTTTTATATTAAACTAGTATTTACCATTTTAGATTCTCTTCATTCATTCCTGAAATTCAGAGACACATTTTTTTCCTTTATGTCCTGCTTGCATTATCAAGGTCAATGCCATGGCAACAGTGGCTTGATTTCCCTGGAACATGTGAGAAGCCCAGAGACTGCCTTTTAGAATTGACCAGCTGAAGAGTAGAAGAATGCTTATGCACAGAATTTCACCCTCTAATGGCTGGGGTTGTCCCTGAGACCATAATTGCTTCTGAATCTGGGATGTACTTGCCTCTGGACTAGAAGGCTGCTAATGGCTTCCCAGAAGGTCTTAGGTTTCAGAGAAGGAATGGAGCAAGTATTAAAGTGGAGCTATTAGTCAGTAGTACTGAAAGTGAGAAACTGGCAATGTGAATGAGAATTATCCAGGATAAGTTGTTTGAACTCCTTAGCCTCAATTCTCCCATCTGATAAATGAGGATAATAAAGGTACCTACATCATAAAACTGTTGTGAGAATTAAAAATGTGAAAACTGTTAAGCATAATTCTTGGCAAGAAGTGAGCCCTGAATCAATGTTCCATAAGGCACTACTCAGGAGGCAACACTTTGAGGTTACTGACAGTGAGAGGCTCTTTCTTATCTGGAAGTCATCCAAACCCCTTTTTACTTTGTAGTTTTCTATGTAACTTTCAAGGCTTTCACTTTCTTACTTATGATATGATAATTAATGTACATGCCTTAAATTATTTTGTTATTTAAAATTCAACTTTACATCAACTTCCACTACGTATTCCCCAAAAGTAGTTAACAGCATGTTTTAAATTATCAATACAAAATACTTATCAAAAACACATACTGAATGGATAAATCTAAGGTTATCTTTTTTATACCTGAAATTTGGTACTATTTCTTTATCAAAAATATCAAAGAAAACTTGGAACCAATATTTATGTCTAAGACAATTTATTGTATTATACTTTCTGATAATTATTAAATGAAAGCTATAGAAGTATGTATAAACAGCTAGATAGAGGCAAAAGAATAAATTGACCACTTGAGGATTGACTTGGATATTGCGCTGCTCAATATCTACTACAGAACATAATGATGTTCCATGTTGTTTTTGAATTCACATTTGAATCTCTAGAGTCTTTAGAGATTTATCCCCAAGGGCAAACAAAAATTAGAGATAGCTTTATAACCAAATTAACCATAATTTTTCACAGAAAGATGAGTGAGTTCTTATTCCAGGAGGTAAGATTTTGGCTCTTGTTAATGAATATGATGTACTGATTTTCATTTACCGTTTGAGAACTCTACTCCCCAAAATTGTATCTGTACTCACAAGTTATACCTGGGGAACAGGGCAGATATAATCAAGCAGTTAGTAAACAACTTTAGCTGAATCGCTATGTCTACCCTCAACTGCACATGAATAAACAGGTATAGTCCATGTCAAGAATTCCTCGTGTATCTACCTATAAGATGGAAACTCATATAGTCTTTCAATACTCTCCAACCTCAGCACTAAAGCATAATGTTAGTAAATTTACTATCAGGATGCTTTAGGCATTTACCGGTGTTTAAAGATTTAAATATTTAAAAATTTAGATATTGGAAACATATTTACATAAAGACTTGTTTTGTTTATGGGTCTGATGCTTTAGCTTCAAGAGAGTAACACATTAGGTAAAGTCCAGGATGTAAGTCAGAAATTTTGGAGATGAGTACCACTATGTGGTGATCCTTCTTAAGTTTTTGAGCCACACTTTATTCAGCTACATATTATGCTGAAAATAATATTTCATTCTATAAAACTCTAATTAGAAAGTGTTGTTAAAGTAGGAAGTGATTTGATTGTTTGAATAAATGTATTTTATTTATGTAGAAAATATCAATCATGCTTTTTGCATAGAAATTATGCCAATATTTCAAGCTACTCGATAAAATAATATTTTTAATTTAAAAATCTAGTAAATTTATAACAGGTAACTTTATTCATAAACTTAATTTGAAATTGGTTTCTGTTATATTATGAAGAAACGTTTATTTCTTTAAAAATATTCTTAAGTGATAGATATTATGAAATATATAACTAACTAGGTATCTCTTTTATACATAACTGCCAGAAGGCTTAAAGGATAGTCCGTCATTCCACACATTGCCAGGTGAATTGGACTTCATGCTCAGTATTATTTATTAAACAGTTACTAAAGGAATGGGTAGTCAGACTTTCCTGGGGTTCATATTGTGACTCTACCAATTGCTACAGAGCTTTGTGCAATTTATATAACTTCCTTAGACTCCATTTATACACTTAAAAAATAATGAATGCAATTAATATTATTTTATGAAAAAATAGACTATATATATACTAATTACACTATATAGACTAAATTATAAGCATAGACTATATATGTATACAAACTATATTACAAGCATATAAATACAAAATTCTTAAGCCTATGCTTACAATTTAGTAAGCATGTAGTAAAAGTTAGCTATAGCTCAAGTCTTTATTACAAAACGCCACATCTTTCTTTTTTTTATATTATAATTACTGGTCTTTTTTGTTACTGTCATCTGTCATATTTTCTTTCCTTTAAATCTACTTTAAGTGCATATTTAGAAACAATATAATACAAAAGGTAAAAGACATTATTTCAAGGAAGTTTTCTGACTATTTTGCTAAAAGTAATTTTAAAAATACAGATAGACTCATAATTGCATGTAAATATGGATCAATTCTTGGATATCTTTATTTGTAATCACATCCCATATACGCATTAAAGAAACTGAAATCATCAAAATTATAACTCCTTTAATATACTGTTTCATCTCAGGTTCCTTTTGGTAGCAGCTGCATAATCTCATGGATTCCCTGGGAGATGGGAACCACACTGCAGTGACAGAGTTCATTTTACTGGGCTTAACAAATGACCCAGTCCTTCGAATCATCCTCTTCATGATCATCCTATGTATCTACCTGGTGACCATATCTGGCAATCTCAGCACAATCATTCTTATCAGAATCTCTTCTCAGCTCCACCATCCCATGTACTTTTTCCTGAGCCACTTGGCCTTTGCTGACATGGGCTATTCATCTTCTGTTACACCCAATATGCTTGTAAACTTCCTGGTGGAGACAAATACCATCTCCTATCATGGATGTGCCATGCAGCTTGGTTCAGCTGGTATCTTTGGGACAGCTGAGTGCTTCATTCTGGCTGCCATGGCATATGATCGCTTCGTGGCAATCTGCAACCCACTGCTTTATTCCACCAAAATGTCCACACAAGTCTGTGTTCAGTTACTTACAGTGGCTTATATTGGTGGTTTTCTCAATGCTTCCTCCTTTACTATTTCCTTCTATTTTTTACTCTTCTGT